AAACCTTCCCCACTTCAAACCAGAGCGGACGACAAAAGGGAGAGCTGGGGCGCGATCGCAGGGCGCATCCTCGCGTTTTGCGCAGAGAGCGGCGATTCCTATGGCGGCGGGGGGCTCCCGTGCGGGCCCACGGCCGGCGGGCAGGTCCAGGCGAGCGGGCATGACGGTACGCTGTGTCGCGTCAGCGGTTGCCTGGCACGCGAGCGCCCGCGGCGGGCGGGCTGGTCGGGCGGGCGGGACATCGAAGTGCGTGATGGCGTATCATCACATTCCCGGCACGAGGGCACCCGCGACGGGCAGGTGGCGCGTCCGTGGCGGCGCGGGTCGTGTCGGGCGGGCGGGACATGAAAATGCGTTTTGGTGCATCCCTCTTTGCCTGGCACGCGGGAGCCCGTGGCGGGCGCGCCGGGTCGGGCGGCTGGGACATTCATGTTTATTGTGGTGCGTTGCGGTGTACAATCACACGCCTCCGCCTCCTCCTCCTTTTCCTCCTCCTCCTCCTTTCCCTCCTCCTCATCCTCCCCATCCTCCTCCCACCTCCCTCCCCAAACCTCCCTCCTATCCTCCTCCTCCTCCTCCTCCTCCTCCTCCTCCTCCTCCTCCTCCTCCTCCTCTCTCCCAATCCTCCTCCTCCTCCGACCGCCCTCCCCCTCCTCCCCCCTCCTCCTCCCTCCTTCATACTCCTCCCATCCCCCCCGTCCTCCCTCTCCTCCTCCCGCCTCCTCGTCCTCCTCGTGGTCCTCCTCCGCCCTCCTCTCGCGCCTGCCCACCCCCTCCCTGCTCATTCTCCTCCTCCTCCTCCTCCTCCTCCTCCTCCTCCTCCTCTACCTCCTCCTGCTCCTCCATTCCTTGTCCTTATATGCAACTTCTCCCTGTCGCACCCCGAGGCCAGTTTTTGGGGCGGGCCAGGCGTTTCGCCTGAGACTTACTCACCAGTCATGACTTTGAAGCGTCAGGATTGACAACGGTTTCACAGATGGAGGGCGGGTGGTTTTCAACATGTGGCTCTGGCCTTGGCGCGGCGCATATTCGTTTTAAACATGTGCAAGGGCTCCACGGATTGAGGGCGGGTGGTTTTCAAAATGTGGCTCTCGCCTTCGCGCGGCGCACATTCGTTGTACACATTGCAAGGGCTCCACGGATTGAGGGCGGGTGGTTTTCAACATGTGGCTCTCGCCTTGGCGTGGCGCACATTCGATTTAAAACTTTGCAAGAACTTCACGGATTGAGGGCGGGTGGTTTTCAGCATGTGGCTCGCGGCGCACATTTGCTTAAAAGCTTTGCAAGAACTTCACGGGTTGAAGGCGGGTGGTTTTCGAAACGTGGCTCTCGCCTTAGCGCGGCGCACATTCGTTTTAACTACGTTGCAAGAGCTTCACGGATTGAGGGCGGGTGGTTTTCAACGTGTGGCTCTTGCCTTAGCGCGGTGCGCATTTCTGTACAACATTGCAAGAGCTTCAAAGACTGAGGGTGGCTCCATTTCGAAATGTGGCCCGCGCCTTAGCGCCGCGGACATTCGTCTTCAACATTTACAGGAGTTTCACGGGCTCCCATCATCAACGTACCAGAAGTGGTGTGTTGAAAGGATTCAGTATAACGCGGGCGCAACAGTTACGTTGACCCGCTTCGTTGAAGTCCCAAATATGGCGTTCTGGCACGATTCTGGATCGTCAACACGCAACAGTCAGGTTAATTCGTAAAATTGGAATCCCGAGATCAATGGTTTGGCATGCTGCTGGGTCTTCAAACGCTTGTCTTCCAACGAGGCAGTTGCCAATGAAGAGGGAGCTTAAAGGGAGGATTTATTCCAACATCGTTGATGCCTCTTGGGTTTGCTGGTCCTGCTCCTCCTGCTCCTGCTCCTGCTCCTGCTCCTGCTCCTGCTCCTCCTCCTCCTCCTCCTCCTCCTCCTCCTCCTCCTCCTCCTCCTCCCTCCTCGTGCTTCTCATCCGGCCAAGGCGGCTCTGCGCGGGTAGGCCCTAGGGGTATTCCCTAGGGTAGCCCTAGCGATAGGCCCCAGTGATAGGCCCTAGGGGCAGGCCTAGGGTAGCCCCAGGGGTAGGCCTAGGGTCGCCCTAGGGTCAGGCCCAAGGGGTAGCCGTAGGGTAGCCCTAAGGGTATGCTCCAGGGGTAGGCCTAGGGTAGCCGGGAAAGGCCCTAGGGGTAGACTCAGGGTAGCCTTAGGAGTAGGCCCTAGGTTAGGCCTAGGGTAGCCCTAGGTGTAGGCCCTCGGGGTAGGCCTAGGGTAGCCCTGGGGGTAGGCCCAAGGGGCAGGCCTAGGGTAGACCTTCCTTCCGGGGTCTGTAAGCAGACCTGGACGCGCAAGCCGCTGCTCCCTCTTCGCATTCGGCGATCGGGAGGCCTGTCGGGTCCGCACACAGGGTCACTCCAGCGAAAGGTCACTCTTACAGTAGAGACCCATGCCAAGAAACACCCTGCTTGCCTCCAGGGTGCCCTGGGTTTCTTGGGTTTCGAAAGTGTTGCTCTGGAGAGCGTGACGTCCCCACACCGACAATCAAAAAAAATCCTGGGGGGTCATGACGGGGTTTCTCGTGGAAGGTTTCTCGTGGTCGAGCTCCTACTGCACGTTCAGTCCAAGCTCTGGTGCGTGGCGAGAGAGGGCTCCTCGCCCAGGGAGGCGGCCCCGCTCGCGAGGCAGGGGCTGACCTCGGCCAGCGTCGCGTGAGCCAGTGCTCTTGCCAGCGGAAGGGGCAGCCGAGCCCCGCGCGCGCCGCGCCAAACAGGACCCAGCGGGCGGGCACTCGCGGCTTCCTCCCGCCGCCCAAAAGAGCGAGAGCCTCACTCCGCTCTCCGTGGGGGAAACGTCTTGAGCCTCGCGAGCCCTCCCCGACCTCTCCTGGTCCCTCCTCCTCCTCCTCCTCCTCCTCCTACTCCTCCTCCTCCTCCTCATCCTCCTCCTCGTCCTTCTCCTGCGTGTTCCTTGTCCTAGTGTGTTTTCCCACTGCTTCTCCTCGTTCCTCCCCGCGCTCCTTCTCTTCCTCGCCTCCCCTTCTCCTTTTCCTCCTGCCCCTCCTCCTCCTCCTCCTCCTCCTCCTCCTCCCTCCTCCTGCCTCCTCCTGCCTCCTCCCCCTCCTCCTCCTCCTCCGCCTCCCTCCTCGTTCTTGGTTCTCCTCCTCCCTCCTCGTTCTTGGTCCTCCTTTTTCCTTGCTCCCACGTGTTCCTTTTGTCTCCTCCGCCTGATCGATGCCAGGGGTTCGGTGCCCGCTCGTCCGCTACGATGCCAAGCCAGCATGGCGCTCTAGATCTGCGTCCTGCTTCCTCCCACCCACCCTCTCTGCCATCCCTTCCTCCCTCCCTCCCTCCCTCCCTCCTCCCTCCCTCCTCTCCCCTCCGACCTCGCCCTCCCTTTCCCTCTCTCTCTCTCTCTCTCTCTCCATCTCTCTCTCTCTCTCTCTCGTTCTCTCTCCCTCTCTCTCTCTCTCTCGTTTGTGTTCTCTCTCTCTCTGACTCTCTCGCTCCCTCTCTCACTCTCTCTTTCTGCCTCTATGTTATATGCATGCATATGTATATACACATATATATATATATATATATATATATATATATATATGTATATATATATATACATATTCTCATACGCACCTCTCCGAGGGAGTAGAGCTCAGAGGCGATTAATGCGCACGCGTCCGCGATTTTTCTGGGCGTTTCGCTCGGGACATCCTCGAAATTCTGAAAATCGGTGGCACCCCTCACGCAGATCGCGACGTCAGGGTCCAAAAACACATGGGAAATTCAACATTTTAACATAAACCTTCAAAAACACATGGTAATTTCAATAATTGTGACCCCGATTCTCAGTGAATGGCGGTTTCGCTTGAAAAATCCTTCCAAAATCGAGCCCCAGACCCCGCCTCGGAGCCTCCTGGGGGCCTCCTGGAACCTCCTGGGGCCTCCTGGGCCTTCTGAACCTTCTGGCACCCCAGACCCCGCCTCGGAGCCTCCTGGGGGTGTCCTGAAACCTCCTGGGGCCTCCTGGGGCCTCCTGCGGCCTCCTGGAGCCTCTTGGGGCCTCCTGAAGCCTCCTGGGGTCTCCTGGGGCCTCCTGAGGCCGCCTGGGGCCTCCTGGGGCCTCCTGGGGCTTCAGAACTACATGCACACAGAGACACAAATCACGCCCAACACATCACACGCTAGACAAACATAACACACACACACAACACCTACAACACACAAAAAGCACGCACCACACGAAGCATACATCACAAACACACACACACACACACACACACACACACACACACACACACGCACAACACTCACAATCCTGGGGCCTCCTGGAGCCTCTTCTGGTATCCAAGTCGGGCCTCCTAAGGCTTCCTGGGGGCCCTGGTACACACATCGCAAGGTGTGGCAACCCCACTTGCGCTCGAGTGCGACTTCGATGTTGCATTTCACTCCTGCTTCAAACGCCCCTTCAATTGTTTGTATGAGCCTGGGCACACACGTGCCACTTGTATATGTATCCCCTGCCACGGCCCTAAATAGATCCCCTGACTCGGCCCCGAAGACAGCCAGCCCGTTCCGCGTACTCTTTTGCTTCGCACGGTGCTTCAAATCCTTTGAGAACGGCACTCCCGCCCCAACGCGGACAACTGCCCTGTATCCGGCTCCGCTCTCATCTTTGTCCCCTCCCCCGCTTCCCCTGCTCCGCCACTGCCGGACCCTCCTGCTCCTCCCGTGCCTTCCGTTCCAGCTCATGCTGCTGCTCTGCGTCCTCCGCCGCCTCCTCCTCCCTCATGCTCCTCATCCTCCTGCTCATGTTCCTGCTCATCCGCCTCCTCCTCCTCCAATACACACAGCCGAATGTGCAAAAACGATGGCGTCCTCTATAACGTTCCAGTTCCGCTATGACACGCGTCGGCGGACATACCCGAGAAGAGCACAGCGATGGGAAGGGGATGTGCGGGAGGGAAGGAGGTCAGATCTGGCGCAAGCACGCCTAGCTTGTCCCTCCCGCTCTCCTGCCTCCTCTCTCCCCTCCTCCCTCCCACTGGCTCCGCTTCGGTGGAGCGACGCGCGCGTCACTTCCGCGCGCCCCTAGACGCAGCGCGGCGCCGGCCGCCGGCGAGCGCGCCTCTCACCTCTGAGGCGATGGGGGATCCACCCAGACAGTTCATTGTGGATGCCAGGACAGTGGACACTCTAACAATCTCAGCATTGAGTTAAAGATGTGTGTCCACAGGTTCAGAACAGATTCTAGGCATGTTTCTAGCGTGTGCTTTACATGCTTAAGACATGCTTGAAACACGTTGACCCTCTCCTTTGATCGACTTGCACAACAGGTGCCTGAGAGTCCTGTATGGCGGACGCGGCACCCAGGCGGGGGAGGCCCTGGCCAGGGAGCCCAGACCCCCGACGTCGTGATCTTGTCGCACGGTCTACCCCTAAGTCGGGCATGTCCCCCTACAGGGGGACTTTCGACGAGAAATAAAAAATGCACCAAAAATAATCAAACAATAATCCAAAAATGGTCCAGGGACTATTTTTGGGGTCTTTTCTGGCCTCTTTGGGGCATTTTTGGTGTATTTTTTATGTTTCGTCGAGAATCCCCCTGTAGGGGACACGCCCGACATAAGTCTACCCCCAGAAGTCTGAACCCCTTCCCTGGGACCCGCTTCTCCTCCCGAGTCGTTCTCCGACGGTCCCGAGGCCCAGTAAGGGCCCCCAAAGGCCAGAAATGGCGAAGAACCTCCCGTCGCAACTCTCTTGCCACGCGAGGGGGTCTGGGAGGCTGAGGGAGATCCGCGGGAGACCTGCGTCCCCAAGGAGGGACGACGACGACGACGGCGACGACGACGACGACGAGGGCCCTCCCTCCCCTCCTCCTCTCTCCCTTCCTCCTGTGGCTGCTGGTCGTGCCACCGGCCGAACCGTCAGCGCACCCCGGCGGCCTGCTTGATCACCTTGCCGGCGCCGTGGAAGGTGCCCCCCGTGCCGTAGCCCGTGACCCAGTAGTCGAGGCGGCGGCCCGCGAAGTCGGAGAGGATCTCGGGGCCCGTGGTCTGCGCCGGGGGGGGGGATTGGGCCCTCCTCCTCCTCCGCCTTCGTTTCTTCCTCCTCACCCTCCTCCTCTTCCTCCTCCTCGATCCATCCTCCTCCTCAAGTCTCTCAAGTATTCAAAACATGCAAAAAAAACATGCCCCCCAGACTATTCAAAACCTCCTGCCCGACTTACTCCTCCCTCCTCCTCTTCCTCCTCCTGCTACTCCTCCTCATTCACCTAGCAACGCTCCCACAAATTATGGAAATCCGCCCGTGCCCGAACTTTCAGCCGTGATGATCCCTCTCCTCCTCCTCCTCCGCCGCCTCCTCCTCCTCCTCCTCCGCCTCCGCCTCATCATCATCATCTTTCTCCTCCTCCTCCTCCTCCTTCTCCTTCTCCTTCTCCTCCTCCCCCTCTCCTTCTCCTTCTTCTTAGCACTGCCTCCGCCTGGCTCCTCTCGTCCTCATCCTCCGTGCTCCTCCTTCCTCCTCCGCCTGCATCCTCCTCTCTTCCTCCTCGGAGCCGCGCGCAAGGATGCCGCCCTCCATTCTGCTTGCTGGCCTCCAGCCTAAAACCCCAAGCGGGCCCCCCAAGGCTTCGACAAGCCCCAAGAGAGCCCAAGAGATCCCCCAAGGCTCCCCCCAGGGACACAAGCAAGCCCCAAGATGGCTACAACACGCCTCCAAATGGCTCCAATCGAATGTTTTGAGCTGTTCCTCTCAATTGATTTGACGTGTGTCCGCTTTTGTTATGTTGCTTATCCTATGTTCTGTCTTTTGGGGGGCGAGGTGGCAGAGGGTTCGCTGTTCGCACAAGACGGCTCCAAGAGTCCGATGCTCAAAGATGGCCTCCAAGTTGTTTCAAGATAATCGCCGATGGTCCAAGATAGCCTCCGACAGAGCACCAGATGGCCCGACGAGCACAAGAAAAGACATCAATGTTTGGGACAGGCGAGGTCCCCCGAATATACAACGTAACGAAGGGGGGAGATCGAGGACCCCTGCACCTTCGATCGACGCCTCACAAGATGGCTCCAAGAGGCCCTAAACGGCCCCCAGATGGGCCCCAGGAGAGCCCCAATATGTCCCCAAGAGGGCCCCAAGACACATTGCCAGAGACCTATGAGGACCCCAGTGCCTTCCAAAAGAGCCCTGAGAGGGCCCATAGAGGACCCAAAGCAAACGCCAAGAGTGCCCCAAGAGTGCCCCAAGAGTGCCCCAAGAAGACCCCAAGATGGCTCAAGTGATCATTGTCCTCGTTGTCCTCCTCCTGCCTCCGATGCTCCAAACCGACCTCCAAAATGGCTCGACACGAACCTCTCCCTCCTCTCACTGCCCGCTTCGTTTCACTATATTTGTCTCTTCCTCCCGTTTCCCGTCAGCTCTCCTGGACAATGTTTTTGAACGAGCTGCTGGGGATACACAAAGCGTGGAGAATTGCTTCTGGATAGGCTGGCGTGGATATGGTAAGCATCAAGAACTGCACCTCTGCCTGTCCGCCAAACTGCGTGGATACATGCCCAACCGAACCTTTCAGTTGAACACCGCACAGACACAACCTGACCTTGCATGAGCGCGGAGAAAAACCATACCAGCCTATTGCGTCAGGCGACGACGGGACAAGAGATCGCAGACATAAGCTTTGTAGTGCAACTCTGGGGGGGGAGGGGCACATCCATCCGTCTCACACACGACTCAGCTGTCTGCGCCTTGGATGCCGTGCCGCGACACCGGGCACTCGCGTCGGCGAGTAAGACTTCGCCTTCTGGCATGGCCGCTTGGCGATTCATTATCTACGGCCTTGGCCGCAAGAGTGCCGACCACGATGCCGGACGTGGGTGCCTAATGGGCGAAAGACTCCTCGAATCCTCGAGGTCCGCCTCCATAGTGATGAACGTGTTGAGAATGCTCGCTTGAAAGGTCCCGTGATGCTTTGACACTTGCCTGAACAACGCAATCTGGATACCATGCTTCATCGTGGCAAGACGTCACCAGATCCTGGTCGCATCCAGCCGCGTGCGCAACAAAACAGGGCGGAACGCAATTGCTCAAGCTTATCTCGCTATCTTGCAGAACAACGTCAACCTTATGGGCACGCTCGAAGCCCGGTCGCGGAAAAAAGCACAGCCATGGCGGCGAGCTGGACTCCGCCAAGTTCGAGAATCAAAGGCTAGCTACGGCAGACGACGAACACAGAAAAATAGCCTGGGCATGGTACTCGGGGTTGGCTTCGTTCTCGAACTGCCGTGCCAAGTAATACCCATGCTCCTCGGCCAACTCCTCCGCCTTCTTGACCATCCCGGTGCCACCTCGGCGACGTCCGTCCATCATCCTCGTCGTCCTTGTCCGCGTCGTCGTCGTGCTTGTCGTCGTCGTCCACGTCTTCGTCGTCGTCCTCGTCCTCGTCCTCGTCATCGTCGTCTTCGTCCTCGTCGTCCTCGCCCTGGCCCTCATCCTCGTCGTCGTCGTCCTCGTCGTCGTCCTCATCCTCGTCGTCCTCGTCCTCCTCCTCGTCGTCGTCCTTGTCGTCGTCGTCCACGTTCTCGTCGTCGACGTCTTAGACCTCGTCCTCGCCATCGTCCTCCTCGTCCTCGTCGTCGTCCTCGCCCGCGTTCTCGTCATCCTCGTCCTCGTCCGCGTCCTCGTCGGCCTTGGAGGCCTGCGTCCTCCGTCCTTGCGGGCCCCAATGAGATACACGACCACCACCACCACCACCACCTCCCTTCCCCCTCCCTCCTCCACCCTCATCCTCCTCTCCTTCTTGGGAGGATACCATTCGGCCCCGTACCCATCGGTCGGAAGAAGTAGGCAGAAACATGAAGCAGGAAGCCGCTGACAGTAGATTGGGCTCCGTCCGCCCCCTTGGGCGGACGAAAAGGTGAAGCCACTAGATCATTGAAGTAGGAAGGCGCCTAAAGCAGACTGGGATCTGGGACTCCAGAAATACAGGCTTTCAGCGACCGATGGGTATCCCTGACCTGCGAGACCTCCCCAAACATGCGACGTCCTGATTTCTTCAGGACGGCGCCCCTGGAAGCCCCGACCCTTTCCCTGGGACCGGCCTTTCGTCCCGAGTCGTCTTTTGACGATCCCGAGGCCGGGCGAGGGCCCCCCGAGGCCGAAAATGGCCAGACTCCTCCCGTCCCGACTTTTTCGCGAAGCGATCACGTCTGGGTCGGGGGGTCGAGCGCACCAAGGCGGGCGGGCGGGGGCCGCGCGGGGGGAGGCGGGGCCAGGAGCCTGGAGTCCCGAAACGGTGCGGTCACAGACCGCGCGGTGACCTCGAAGTCCCCCAAGACCCCACCGCACGGTCCGTCGCCGCACGGCCTGGGGACCCCTGAGAGCCCCTACTCGGCTTAGACGTCCTCGGAGAGAACGGCCCCGAGCCCCAAAACCGTGCGGGGACCTCGGAGCCCCGCCGACCCACTGCACGGTGTGGTCACCACCCCGGGGGGCCCCCGAAGGGAGAGCCGCCGGCGGCCCGCGCGGAGCCCCGGAGGCCCGCCCGGGGGACGCCGGGGGGGGGGGCGAGGCAGGCCACCCGCAGGGGGGAAGGGGGGGGTGCGGGGGGCACGACGGGGAGGAGCGGGGAGGGACGAGCGGGGAGGGGCCGGGCCAGGCGCGGAGCGCGCCGTGGAGGTCTGCGGCGTGGGGAAGACTGGCCGCCGCTGGGACGTCCGTGCCGCATGTGCTTTTGTCGGTGTCGTGCGCGGTTCCTTCGCGGGATGATCGAGGATGCGCCTCGACGGTCCTCGCCGAAGGAAGCATGCACGCGCCGGAGCGGTGCCAAGAGAAGGGGCCCTGAAGGGCCCCGTCATATGGCCCCTCGCCTGCCGGCTCCAAAAGGGGCCCTGGAGGGCCCCTGCGGGGCCCGTGTCTTCACACCGTGGAGGAAGAAGCGGCTGCATGAACATGAACATATCGCATAAACGTATACCTGGGCTCCCTCCCTGGCGCGCGGAGCGCGCCAGGGGCGGCGCCAGAGGCGCCGCCAGGGGTCCCTAGGCGCGGATCCCAGAAATCCGCACGGAGCGTCGCAAGTCAGTGGCGTTCCTGCTTCTTCGACCTCGTGTCCCCCCCCAATGCCCCCCCCGCCCGACGCCGGTGCTTCACGCTGGCTCCAGCCTCCGTCCTCGTCGCTCGTCCTTCCCATGGCTCGGCGCGGAGAGAAGAAGGGCCCCCAAAGGGGCCGAGTGTTATGTCGGGCGTGTCCCCCTATAGGGAGATTTTCGACGAAAAAAAATATCCCAACAATACCCCCAAAAGGTCAAAAAATACTAAAAAAATAGTCCCCCGACTTTTTTTGGAGCATTTTTGGACTATTTTGTTTTTTTTTTCGTCGAAAATCCCCCTGTAGGGGGACAGGCCCGACTTAACTCTACTACTAAAGGGCCCCTTTGGGGCCCTTTCCTTCACCCCCCATTCAGGTCACCCCCCATTACGAGACAAGCGCGTGCCGCTACTCGCGAAGGAACTACTCGCAAATGGCCTGGATCCGCCGCGGGGGATCTACGATACATTACATCGAGACGGACATGTTTTTTTTCGGACGTTTGCGAGTAGGCGCTTTGCGAGTAGTGGAACGCGCTCGGTGAATTACGGTCGACCCGTGCCGTAAGGACGCACGATAAGGGTGCAAGGCCCCTGGAAGGCCACTCCGGAGCTTCTCGAGCGGGGTGCGGCCCGCGGAAGTGGCCAGGGACGTGCCGCCAGGGGGCAGGGGTGCCAGGGCAGCCTTGGAGAGGCTGCCCATCCCTACTGCGCGGGTTGCCTGCAGCACCCGCCCGACGCAGGTCCTTCACGCTGGCTCCATCCTCCTTCCTCGCCGCTCCTCCTCTGAAGGGGCCCTGGGACACACACACACACACAAATAAACACACACTAATAACTGGATTCCCCATCTGTTCCCATATGTTCTGGGTTTTTGTTTGTCTCCCCCCCCACTTCCCATACTTTCCCATACTTTCTGGGGAGTCGAGGATTAGTGGTGCCTGTGTTTTTTCCTCTCCTGATCTCGGGAGCGGCCAAGAGGGGGGTGTCCAAGAGGGGGGGGTGCAAATCATGACCGGCGGCATGTGCGCGGCCCAGGGGGGGGCCCAGCGACGTAATGAAATAAGAAGGGGCGCCATGAAATCTGAGGAAATATCATGGCCCCCGCCATGATATCCACCCCCCCCTAGTCATCCCCCCCCCTCTTTTCCGCTCCCGATGATCCTCCTCCCCCGGCTCGGCAGCGAGCGCCCGGGAGGGAAGCGAGAGGGGGGGCCGAAGGCCCCCGCCAGGGCGAGGCGACGGGCCTCCTGCGAGGCCCCTCTGAGGCTTCTGAGAGGCCGCCTCCGCCCTCGGGGAGGGCCTGGACAGCCAAGCTGTGCACCAGCTGGCCTCCAAGCGCCGTCGAAGCCATGTGTGAAGGGGCCCTGGGACACACAGATAAATACACACAAATAAAAGGATTCCCCATATTTTCCAATATTTTCTGGGTTTCTGTTTGCACCCCCCACTTCCCATGTTTACCAATCTTTTCTGGGGAATCGACGATTGATTGTGTCTATGTGTTTTTTCCCCCTCCTGAATGTTGAAAAGCAGCGCGCGTGGAGGCAGCATAGCCAAGCTTTCGGAGCTCCACGCGGCGCTCTCGGATGGGCGCCGGCGCCCCCCCTGGCGGCCCCTCCGGCAACGCCCCTGGCCGATCCCCGAGAAAACAAGAACCGCCCCTGGCCGATCCCGGGAAAACAAACAGCGCCCCCTGGCCGATAGACAACTTCTCGAGAACCCGGGGGCCATCCGAGCCTTCTGAGAGGGCCCGCCCCTTCTGACGTCTCCCCCCCCCTCTTGGGCCTCGCCTCCACGCCTCCAAGCCGCCCGGGAGCTCGAGCTGCGCTGCACCTTTTCTGCTGTGCAGTGCAGTTGTTCGGAGGCAAGGGGGGGGGGTGAGGCGAGGGGGCACCCATCCGCCAGCACTGCGGATCGAATCGCGGCGCTGCCACTGCCCACGTGCGGCAGAGCCAGACAACAGGAGGACCGATGAGAAAGGAAGAGGCATGGTGAGGAGGTGGGTTGAGCTCACGAGCGGCGAACATTTCCGTATCCGCGACTTCGAGGTCTGGATTCCAGGGCGCGATCCCGCGGATATCCAGTCGCACAGATACGTTCCGCGCGGAGCATCTGCGACAAAAACGCCCCATATCCGCCGAGTCGCGGCCCTGGGGCCCAGCCCGCGAGGCCGCGGAGACGGCGGGCTTGTGTCGTGTCGACCCCGGCATTGCCTTCTGACACCGCGGGGACCGCTCAACATTGAAAGAACGGCCGCTTCCGAAACGTCACATCGTTCATCATCGACCAATTCTGGGTCGCCGGCGGCGCTCGCCGCTGAACGCCGGCGGCGGGGTCGCCGCCGGTCGACACGAGCCCAGACATGCGACGTCCTGACTTTTGCAGAACGGCGTCCCTGGATGTCCCGACCCTTTCCCGTTTCTCGTCCTGAGTCTCGGGGATGGACAGACCCCCCTTTAGTAAAACGTGGTTTAGTGAAAACGACCTGAGGCCCAAACCTGGCGGGCGCAAGCCTGGAAAATAACGGCCACGGCGCCCTCTCGAGAACCGAAAACGGGCAATTCACTAATCGACGTGTCACTGTTGGGGGTTCTGTCCACCCCCGAGTTTCTCGTCCTGAGTCGTTTTTCGGCGGTCCCGAGGTCCGGCGAGGGCCCCCCCGGGGCCGAAGATGGCCCAAAGACCTCCTGCCCATACCTGCTTTTTGCGACGCGGTCGTGCCTGGGAGGCGAGCCTGCGGAAGTGTTGGTCGCCCACGAGGGGAGCAGCAGGCGGGACCCGCCCCCTGCCGCCGTCTGCTGGGCATCGCGTCGCACCCTCCAGAGGGGGGGGGGGGGGGGGGGGGGGCGGCAAGCACGCCGAGTGGGCGCGGGGAGGCCACCGAGGGGCGCGGGGGTCACGATCACCTTCGCCCCGAGCATCCGCATGACCTGAAGGTGGAGCAGCGCGCGCCAGGAGCAACGCAAACGAGAGTGCAGGAGACGGTGCTGCACCCGAGCCGGCACGGACGACTCCCGGCGCCGAAGGCCACAAGCCTGGTCTCTCTCTCTTTTCAGAGGCACTGCACCCATTGGGACTGGCAGGGAACATCTCTTCATCCCTCTCTTCCGCTCCCTTCATCTCTCTCTCTCTCTGTCTCCTCTCTCTCCCCCTCCTTCTGCCTCACTGTCCCCTCGCCTATAGTACCTTGTTATTTGCCTACGTGCTCGTATATCCCCCCCAGTGTTTTGTTTACATGTGTTTTCTTTCTCTCTCTCTTTCTCTCTTTCCCGCCCCCCCTCTCTCTCTCTCTCTTTCCCCTTCTGCCCATCTCTATCACTATCTTCCTCGCTCTCTCTCTCTCTCCCTCTCTCTCTCTCCCTCTTTCTCTCTCCCTCTCTGTCTCTCCCCGCTGTCCTTCATCCCCCAGGGTCACTCCAGACACGCGTCCGCGTGGCAACAAATCAGGCTGGTCCTTCCGTCGCTCGACGGAGAAGGACGCCGCCATGGTTGAGACGAAGTTGTAGCCTCGCTGCGCGCAGACCTGGACGGTTGAGGCCAGCGAAGGGAAGGACGGACGGCTGGGAATGTGAGGCAGCGGGGACAAAGCGTGAACACAAGGTGAAATGCGGATCCAATCCGAAGCACAGCCCTCGCTCGACCTCGCAGGTGTTGCTCCGCGCGCCCGCACACACCCCGGTGGCTTGACAGGGCCACCAGCAACAGACCGTAGTAAAAGCTGCATCCGAGGCGAGGCATCGTTCAATAGCTTGGCTCTGTCCGAGGCCCTCCATCACGCCACCTGCCTACCTCCCCATTCCTCCTCGATCCTCTCATCACTAATTGCTCCAGTCACCTCCTCATCCTCCTCCTCCTCATCCTCCTCCTCCTCCTCCTGCCCTTCCTACCTCGCACTATCCCCCCCCCCGCACACACTCCTCCACCCATCACCAAGCGCTTCACCCCTTCTATGTCCTTCCTCCTCTCTCTCCTCCACTCTCCACACGTCCTCCTCCTCCTCCTCCTCCAACATATATCCGAACGGTTGTCTCCCCAGGGGAGACTTTGTGGCGGGGACCAAGGGGGGACACTGTGACATGATACTTGAGTCGGGCGTGTCCACCTACAGGGGGATTTTCGACAAAACATGAAAAAACTCCCAAATGGTCAGCAACAAATTCGAAAAACAGATCCCTGTACTATTTTCTACGATGTCTGAATCTTCCTCCTGTAGAGGGACGGGCCCGACTTGAGAACAGGCGGACGGCCTCAACTCCGCGACGCACCAATCGGGGAGGCTGCTGCGCGGCAGAGCCACTGCAAGGCGCCCGCCGAGGGCCGCGAGCCGCACGCGGAGCGTGGCGGGAAGCCTCGGGAACTCCACGGAAACTGCGAGACCATCGGCGGGAAGCCCACGGAAAAGCAGCGGGAGCCCCACGGGAACATCGAGGACCATCGGCGGGAAGCGTCGGTTCCCCAGCATCGGGAACCCCCGCGGGAAGCATCGAGGAACCCAAGCGGGAACCCCCGCGGGGGAAGCATCGGGAACCCCACGGGAGACCTGCGGGACGGGAAAGCGACCACAGCCACTGCTTCTTGTCTCCGCCGCCTTCCAGCCGGCCGAAAAAGACGCAGTGGCTGTGGTCATCTCCCTGGTCCCAAGCTCCACGAAAATGACCACAACCACTGCTTTGTTTCTGCGGGCTGGAGGGCGGCAAAAGAAAAGCAGTGGCTGTGGTCGTTTTCACGCCCCGTAAGTCGGGGATCTTCTGACCCGGGTCAATCCAGATACGGGTCGGCAGGAAACCAACAAATCTGCAATGCAGGAAAACGAAAACTGCAACGCAGGTCCTCGCAAACCCGGGCCAGCCAATAGGCGCGGCCGCCTCGTGGCCACGAGCGGCTCGCTGACCCGGGTCAGCCGGAGGGGGTCTTCGCAGGATCCTGCAGGATCTGGTGCCCTGGCGGACCCCCGTCTGCACTGACCCCCGCCTCGAGGCTCCCGAGTAAGCTCGAGGCTCCCGAGCACACGGCGGTCCCTCGCTGAATTCCACAGGGCCCGGGGAGATCCACGGGCAGCATTGCCCCGAGAGCCAGGCGGCGGCTCTGCGGGCCCAGGCCTGCGACGCCCTGCCTCCTTGCAGGCCGGCGCCCCTGGAAGCCCCGACCCGCTCCCGGGGACCGGCCCTTCGTCCGGAGTCCTTCTCTTATGTCGGGCGTGTCCCCTTCCCTACAGGGGGATTTTCGACGAAACCAACAAACAAAACACCAAACATACCCCAAGAAGGTGAACAAAAATCCTCAAACAATCCCCAGACTATTTTTGGATTACTGTTTGATCATTTGGGGCTTTTTTTTTTTTTTTTTTCATTTTTCGCAGAAAATCCCCCTGCAGGGGGACAGGCCCGACTTAATCCTTTTCTGCCGGTCCCAAGGCCCGGCGAGGGCCCCCCGGGGCCGAAAATAGCCAGAAACCTCCCGTCCTCATTTTTCCACGAAGCGATCATGTCTGGGACGAAAACTGAACCATCGAACTCCCGGACGTCGTCAGAAAGAGTCGGCAAACCCGCAGTCTTACATGTCCCAGGTTTCTCTGTACACCCCGCCCCGCTAACTAAATGTTCCTCTATGCGTGCTCCTCTCTGCTCGAATGGCACAGGCGAAGCCAGGACGTACAGTTAAGTCGGGCGTGTCCCCCTACAGGGGGATTTTCGACGAAAAATCGAAAATACTCAAAAAAAATATACAAACAAGGTAAAAACAACACATACTCCAAAATAATCCCCAGACTAGTTTTGGACTATCTTTTGATTCTTGTTGGGGTATCCTTTATTCTTCGTCGAAAATCCCCCTTTAGGGGGACACGCCCGACATAAACGTACAGACGTACACGTAGCACAATTAAAACGTATATAGTAAGGACGCGTTGTAAGGACGCAGGACCCTTGGAGGCTGAAGTTGGGATTTTTGTTTTGGGCGGCGGCGACAAGTGAAAACGGCAAAGGACGGGCCACAGAGGCAAGGACGCAGGGGTATCCTAGATGAAGGCGCGCGTCCTTACTAGGCGCGTTGACTGTAACGGTTGGGCACGTCTGCCTTCCACGGTGTCGTGGCGGCGGCCCCGGCGGCACGCGCCATATGCATTTGCGACGGCGGCGGAGTGCGTCGCGACGCGGAATAAAATTGTCAAGGCGGAGGGGGCACGGGGCGGAGCCCCCACTGGGGCGCTGGAGACGCGGGGACAGAGGTGGGGGAGGTGGTGTGCGTCGCGACGCGGAATAAAGTGTTCGGAGCGGAGGGGGCAGTGGGCGGGGCTCCCGCTGGGGCGCTGGGGGCGCGGGGGGGCTCGGTGCATAGAGCCACGGCGCCAGGGTCCCACTTTGGCGCTGGGGCCGCGGGGAGGGGGGGGGGGGCACGCGGAATAAAGCGTTCGTGGCGGAGGGGGCAGTGGGCGGGGTCCCGCTGGGGCGCTGAGGACGCGGGGGGGCTCGGGGCAGAGATCCACGGCGCGGGGGTCCCACTCTGGCGCTGGGGGCGCGGAGGGGGGAGAGGGGAGGGGTACGACGCGGAATAAAGCGTTCGTGGCGGAGGGGGCAGTGGGCGGGGCCCCCACTGGGGCGCTGGGGGCGCGGGGGGGGTTCGAGGCAGAGAACCACGGCCCGGGGGTCCCACTCTGGCGCGGGCGGCGACGCGGGGGAGGGGGGCGACGCGGAATAAAGTGTTCGGAGCTCTAGAAACTCTGCGCAAGAGAGTAAAGCCGTCTCCTGTTGGTTGCGCCATAGGTTGCCCCCTCGGCCGCCGAGAATAAAACCGTCGCGTACAGGGTGCGACCAGTCAGTGGTCAGCCAGTCAGTCAGTCAGTCAGTCAGCCCGTCCGAGTTTACTTCGCGAGCAACAAATTCGGGCTACGCCCGAAAACAACAAAAAAAATCCCAATCACCCACCACCTCAAACCTCTCCCGCTTCCTGAATGCCGGAACCAATACTGTGCCACCTCAGAACCTCAGCTGGCTCCAAACGCCCGATGTTTGTGTGTACCATGGACTCTTGCTCTAGGGGAGCGAAGATTGTCATACCGTAGCATTTTTCCCGTAGCATTAATACATCTTTTTGAATTTATGTAATGTAACTGCATAATATTACTGTAATGACTCAAGGTAAACTGAAAACAGGAACTCAAAATAAGCAAACAGATATGTAAATGCAACAGAACAAAGCAGTGAAGGACAGGAGAACATAATCAGATGACACTTCAGTCAATAAGCATCACTACAAAACGATGAGGTAAACACAAAACGCCGGAGGTCCGCGCGGATTTCTCGGATTGGCGCTGGACCCCCCCCTCCCTGGCGCGCGGTGAGCGCCAAGGGCGGCGCCTCCGGCGTCGCCAGGGGGGTCCAGCGCGGATCCGAGAAATCCGCGCGGACCTCCGAGTTTTTAGATTTACATGTAATGCTTCGTCTCCCTATGCTCGTGCGATTTAGCGCGCGGCCCCACGGGCGGCCATGGCGAGCGCGATGCCGGTGTTGCCGCTCGTGGCCTCGGGCGGGAGGGCCGACGCGCACGCGAGCGCAGGGGCATGCCGCCACTTTGTGCGGCGGCGCGTGGAGGGGGGAAATAACCCAGGCGTGCTCCTCCTCCTCCTCCGCCTCCTCCTCCTCCTCCTCCTCCTCCTCTTGTTCTTCTTCTTCATCGTCTTCTTCTTATCATTTTTCTTATTCTTGTTCTTCGTATTGTTCGTTTTCGTCCTTCTCCTCCTCCTCCTCCTCCTCCTCCTCCTCCTCCTCCTCCTGCACCCTTGAAACAACAAAACATGGAATCCTGGTTCACAGCAAGAGCATTCGCTCGCTTTCGGGCCGTGGGTCCCTCACATATCGATCTGGTTGAACAATGACGCAGGGAGATCTGGTCTGGCCTCCAATGAGGACTTCTTGCGATAGCACATCTTGCTTGCGCGTCGGATCTCACGGGAGGTGTTGGGCCACGTTCTGCCTCTGAAGGCTCTGACGGGCCCCGGGACCGTAAGAAAACGACGCGGGATGAAACACCAGCCCAATGGTGTCGAGGACTTCCAGGGACCGCGCATTGAGCAAAACCAAGTTATCGCATGTCTGGGGCAGGCCTTCTCAGAAAGCGGCGGGGCTTCTGAGAGGCCCGCCGGCCGTCTTAAATGCTCCTTATGACACCCTGTGGCTTCGGAGAAGGCGGCCTTTCGTAGAACGCTTCTCACAAAGCCGGAAGCCTGCTGAGCCTTCTTCTGAAGCAGCCCTCCGCATCTGCCTTCCCCTCGGGGGCAACAAGAAGGGGAACCAGCTCAGCGGGGTAACCATCGACCTGGAATCGGCCAGACCTCCCCGATCGATCGGCGATCGGCCCCCGACTGCGCATCCGCACGGTCCTGGGCGGGGCGGGCTGTCTGGCGCCTATCGGCGAGGTGTGGGCGAGTGCGGGTCGATGCATCCCCTTCCCCCCCCCCCCAAGCCCATCCCCTCCCCAACCGCTACAGGGCAGTTTTGAATACATAAGATTTTTCCCTACCTAGGCTCTGCCTCGAAGGGTTCTGACTCTCTGGGCTTAAAGGGGCCGGGCAGTGGGGCTCGCCCTGGGCGGTTCCCCCGGTATCCGCCCCGCGGTTCCCCCAGCTACGTCCCCTTAGCTTAGCGTTGCTTATCTCATCTTAGCTTAGCTTATTTCATCTTCGCTTAGCTTAGCTTCATATTAGCTCAGGTTTATCTTAGCTTAGCTTACCTTCATCTTAGCTTCGGTCAGCTTTAGCATCGCAGAGCACAGCATAGCATAGCGTAGTCTCATCTTAGCTTAGCTTTGCCTAGCCTAGCTTAACTTCGCTTAGCCAAGCTTAGCGTAGCTTAGCTTAGCTGAGCTTAGCTTAGCTTAGCTGAGCTGAGCTTCGCTTATATCATCTTGGCTTAGCTTAGCTTGGCTTAGCTTAGCCCAGCCTAGCCTAGCTTAGCTTAGCTTAGCATAGCTAAGCTTACCTCAGCGCAGCACTAGCGCAGCGCAGCAAAATATAGCATCGCCAAGCATAGCATAGCATACCATAGCTCAACATAGCATAGCATAGCATAACACAGCGCAGCCGAGCGTACCCTAGCACAACATAGCATAGCATAGCGCGGCATAGCGCAGCATAGCATAGCAAAGCACACCCAGTGAGCGAATGCGAAAACATGCATGTGTGTGTGTCTGTACGCAGGCAAAGCAAACACACAATCAAGCAAACTCAAAAACAATGGCAAAGCAAAAGCAACAGCAAAAGCAAGAGCAAAGGCAAATGCAAAAGCAAAGGCAAGAGCAACAGCAAAGGCAATGCAAAGCAAAAGCAAAACCAATGCGAAAGTGTAGATGTAGATGTAGGTGTAGGTGTAGATGTGGATGTAGGTGTAGATGTAGATGTAGGTGTAGATGTAGGCGTAGATGTAGATGTGAGTCTCGCTGTTGATGTTGATGTAGATGTCGATGCAGGTGTAGATGTAAATGTAGCTGTGGGTGTAGATGTAGATGTTGCTTTCCTAACTGCTCCAACTCCTGGGTAGGGCCACCCTGGGATGATTAAAAATATGGGATTTGTAATACTTGACGAACTTATGCATAAATTTGTGCATGAACTCATCGTTGTTTTTAGTACTAAATCCCTGCATTTTGAATACATGATCCGCACGCGGAGCATGCATTAAAAACGGCACTGTACCCTCCCTGGGCGCGCCGCCGACTTGGCGGTGGTGGGCTGGTCGGCAGAAGGCCCCGCGGGCGTCTCGGCCGTCACCGGCGCGGGCCTCCCCTCGTCGCGAAGGCATCCCAGCGGGAGTCTCCTCGGCCCTCGCGAGGGCCGTCGCAGGGCCCCGGGGCCGAGCGGAGACGGCTCGGCGTGAAACACCGGGCCATGGTGCAGCAGTCCAGACTGCTGGGGGTCCACGCGGTGAAGAACAAACTACGGGGATGGCCTTGGGTACGGAATTCTGATTTTTTATTAGGCAGCATAGAGGGCCGTTTCACGATGTTTGAACTCGCTCGCCAGTGAAAAGATTCCTTGATACTCAGCTCTACTCGCAATCGCGTCGCTGTCACGCCCCAGAGCGTGGTCCCTGAAACGGGTAGAAAAACCCTTGGATACGGAATCATTGGATAAGGAATCCAGGGTCTGGAAGCTGGTGGAACACCAATCTTGATTGGCCGTGGATATCACTGCCGACCTCATCCGATAAGGAATCCTCCAGGGTCTGAAGCCTCCTGGGCACATTCATGAAGGAACGCCCCCACCGTACGTAGCACCCCGCAATCGCGGATACGAGTGAGGGGGCGGCGGCGGCGTCGGCAGTCTGCGGGGCTCTGAAGAAACCCGCCGCAAGTGCCGATTTTTCGTTAAAGCCATGTGAGTGGGTCGCGGGTGGGGTCGCGGGTGGGTCGCGGGTGGGTCGCGGGTGGGTCGCGGGCGTGTCGCGGGGTGGGTCGCGGGCGTGTCGCGGGGTGGGTCGCGGGCGTGTCGCGGGGTTGGTCGCGGGCGTGTCGCGGGGTGGGTCGCGGGTGGGAAGCGGGCGTGTCGCGGGGTGGGTCGCGGGTGGATCGCAGGCCGGGTCGCGGGGGAGACGATGGCAAACAACAGCAACAAACAAAAGCAAAGAACAACACCAACAATAACAGCAACGACAAAAACAACAACAACAACCGCAACACCAACAACAACAACAACAACAACAACAACAACAACAACACCATCCAACCGTCACCAGTCAGCATGCAACAACAACACCAACAACAACCACAACAACAACAACGACAACACCAACACCAACAACAACAACAACAACAACAACAACAACAGCAACAACAACAACAACAGCAACAACACCAACAACAACAACAACAACCGCAACAACAACAGCAACAGCAACAGCAACAACAACACCAACAACTACAATGCAAGGACAACCTCTCAGGCCACCCTGGCGGGGCCCGTGGTGGTGTCCTCGCCCACGGGGCGAGCGCACTCCCCCAGGCCACACGATGCAGTTGTTGCCCCGGGGGGGGGGAGCAACGCGCAACACCTCTGTCATACGCTGACGTAAATCTATATGTGTTTCCGAATCTCCTTGGCCCCCCTTACTGTTCCCCACGCACTCCTGTGTCCGAAAACCGACCGCGCGCCAGCGAGGCCAGCTCCTCCTCCCTATAGGACTCCTATGGAGTCCTGCAGGGCCCTGTAAGGATCCTATCGGGTTCCTATAGGGTTCCTATGGGATCCTGTAGGATCCTATCGGATTCCCATAGGAATCCTACGGAATCCTGTAGGACCCTGTAGGGACCCCATCGGATTCCAATAGTATTGCAATCGGATGCCTATGGAATCGTGTAGGGCCCTGTAGGGATCCAATAGGGCCCCCCTCGGATTCCTATAGGGTTGCTATGGGATCCTGTAGGATCCTATAGGATTCCCATAGGAATCCTACGGAATCCTGTAGGACCCTGTAGGGACCCCATCGGATTCCAATAGTATTGCAATCGGATGCCTATGGAATCGTGTAGGGCCCTGTAGGGATCCTATCGGATTCCTATAAGGTTCTGATGGGATCCTGTAGGACACTGAAGGGATCCTATAGGGACCCCAAAAGACCCCAAGAGGATTCCTACTGGAATCCTATGGAATCCTGTAGGACCCTGTAGGGATCTTATGTGATTGCAATGCGATTACAATCGGATTTCTATGGAATCCTGTAGGACACTGTAGGGATCCCGTAGGATTCCAGTAGCATTACAATAGAATTCCTATGGAACCCTGTAGGACCCTGCAGGGACCCTATAGGATTGCCAATCGGATTCCAATAGGATTCCTATGGAATCCTGTAGGACCCTGTAGGGACCCTATAGGATCCCCAATAAGATTCCAATAGGATTCCGATGGAATCCTTCAGGACCCTGTAGGGACCCCATCGGATTCCAATGTGATTCCAATAGCATTCCGATGGAATCCGGTAGGACCCTGCAAGGATCCTACAGGATTCCACGGGAGCCCCCTCTGGGGCCAGGGCCACGATCCGTGAGAGGGGTGTGTCGAAATGAAGCCTCGGTGGAGCTCCTTGTGGGGCCAGGGACACGATCCGCGAGATGGGTGCGCCGAAATCGAGCTTCGGTGGAGCTCCCTGTGGGACCAGAGCCACGATCCTGGAGAGGGGTGTGCCGAATGGAAACCTCGGTGAAGTTCCCTGTGGGGCCAGAACCACTATCCGTGAGAGGGGTGCGCCGAAATCAAACTTCGGTGGGGCCCCCTGTGGGGCCAGGGCCACGATCCTCGAGAGGGATGTGCCGAAATGAAATCTCGGTGGAGCTCCCTGTGGGGCCAGGGACACGATCCGTGAGAGGGGTGCGCCGAAATCAAGCTTCGGTGGAGCTCCCTGTGGAACCAGAGCCACGATCCTCGAGAGGGGTGTGCCGAAGTGAAACCTCGGTGGAGTTCCCTGTGGGGCCAGGGCCGCGATCCGTGAGAGGGGTGCGCCGAAATCTAGCTTCGGTGGAAACCCGTGGGGCCAG